CATTCTTCCCTTTCTTAGCAGCCCCTCGTCCGATTGGAAGTATTCAAAGGAGGAGTGAATAGCAAGGGTAGGAAAAGAACAAATTCACTCATCTTTTACACACTTGATTTGTCTTCTGGTAGCATTTTTGACTTGAGAAGTCGCATGCAGGCGGAAAGAGCCAAGCCGCAAATTTACCGCGCGCTCACTGCCTAAATACCATTTCGCAACCTTTTTTTTTATTCAGGGCAGGTCAGCGCTCCGCTCGCAAAAACACGTGCAAATCGCGCTATGTACGTGTTAAACGCGTCGCACCCGACACAACGCGAGTTTCGAAGTAAACGGGGTAGATAATTGTTGACAGCAGACGGCGTACGCCTGAATTTTACGCGTTCTTGTGTTAATTTTACGACGGAATGACTGTATTTGGGGCGAACGGGACGCAGTGTCGTAGGTTCCACTCTAGTTACTTGCCATTTAAGGAAGGGAGCCGCCCGTCGGTATTGCAGGCACACGACTTGCCCTCTCCACGTCACTCAACTTTTGCTTGCACGACGCGCTTCACGACTCTGACGACACTTGAAGAACGATGGCTGCTGTAGAGCCTCAGCCTGGCATGAGGCTTAGACGAAAATCTTCGAAATCGTCTCAGGATAGTCGGTCGGACACCACCGTGAAAGACGATTCCGAGCGAGAGGACGTGGTTTGGGGAAAGACTCCCGGTGGAGAAGGTGCGCGCTGATTTTATGCAATTTATTGAGATACATGGAGATTAATCTTAGCCCGCGATAGTTTTCCGGGTACCTACCACTCACGACGTGTTGACTTTATTCGATCCGCGATACCCCAAGTCTCACATCGACCTGCTGAACCTTGGATTACTGGGCTTGCAAATCGTCCTGTTTCTTGCCCTGCCTCGCTCGATCTCTCGCATTTTCTTCTTCTTCTACTTTGCATTCTGGAGGGCGGCGTATGATGCTGGGTTGGGTTGGGTTCTGACGAAGCAGAGCAAGAAAAAGTGGATCGTAAAGGAAGTTCAGAAATTAGGATGGCTTGACGAGACTCGCCGCCCTGCTGTGCGTAATTGGATTCGTAAACAACTTGCGGGAAAGATGGGCAAGGATTATTCGTTTGACGTGTGTATTATTTCCTTAAATAATTGTCCTGAGACTAATGGCTCAGCAAACAGGATCTTCCTCTGGAATATAACACCTGGCTGCTCTTCCGCCAGGCCGTTGATATTATCCTCCTGAAGTCAGTCTTTTATCACGCATATAATCACGGTTCAACTAATATTGGCCTATAGCGATTTCACCGCATACTGTTTGTTTGCGTTCGCGTGCTTCCGGGTTCCGGAAGGCCTATCTGTCGCCACACATGTAATGCGGTGAGAAAATAGTATGCGCGTATTCATTAGCATTGGCTCACCTATATGTAGCTGGATTGGGGGTGTCGCCCTCATTGCCTTCAACCTATGGGTCAAAACCGAGGCTCACGATGTGGTCAAGGACTATGGCTGGTACTGGGGTGATGTCTTCTTCCAACGCGGTGCACTGGTGTTCGACGGCGTCTTTGAACTGGCACCCCACCCGATGTACTCTGTTGGCTACGCGGGTTATTACGGTTTATCCCTAATCGCTGGCAGCTACCCAGTCCTCTTCGTTAGTCTTGCAGGCCACGCCGCTCAGTTCGGCTTCCTAGTATTCTTTGAAAATCCCCGTGAGTTACCACGTATATCTGAGTTGACCTGTAATTTACTGTGTCGGGTAGATATCGAGAGGACGTATGGCCAACGCAAATTGCTCGCTAAGCGCACACCGCTTTTACCTGTGACTAAGAAATCAGCATCCTCGGAGAAATCAACTTCGGAAGAGCGTGTACGGAGCGCATCAATTTCTTCCGCTGCTTCCCTTGAGTTGTCGACTCCGTCTGCCACGGAGGGAGAAAGTGGAACTGAGACGGACGATCTCCACACCGATAGTGATTGCGAGACGGAAAACGAAGGGGGAAAAATTCTCCGCGGACACAAACGTCGACAAAGCTCAAACGTTAGTTTCGCATCGATCGGGAATTCCATGGCTGTCGACATGATACGCACCAAGTCTGTCACTTCTCAGCATGACTTGTTTAACAGGTATTTCCGGAAAGATGCTGTGCTCCTGCATAATATCGATTTATTACGGTCAGTCTCCATTTACATGCGCTGTTCATTGGAGCTGATGCCGTTGCAGTGCGACGGACTTGCAACTCATCCTTGTCCTAGTATACGTCCTATTGGCTTCCTTCTTGCCGATCATGTCAGATAACACCACGTTGTCTTTGCACTTTGTCCATGCGCTGGCGTGGTGCCTCTTTCATTCGTTCGGTCTCGGTTTGTTGCTGCAGGCGCAGTCTGAGCGCAAGTTCCTTGTTCGCCATTTCCTGAAACACTACCACTACCCGCGTAATGACAATGGGAAAGGGGCTGTCATCGAGGCGTTCGCAAACTGGAAATCGATATATAACATGAGTATGTGTATGACTTACGGTAAGTGGCTTATATCATGGAGTGTATGAGACATAGAGGGGTACTGAAGCGCGTTTGGTAGCGTCGTTTATTGGGCTGGCATGGAAGACATACTCGATCCCGCATAATTGGACGGTGGGCAATGAGCTCCTCCGTCATACTCTGGGGGCGGTACGTAATACTTGTTCCCACCCCCTGAATGCTTCAATCCGAGCTAAAACTAACTCAATCGTCGTTGAATAGGTCTTAATCGCCCTTCAGGTGTGGTCCACCCTAGAGCAATATGAAGTTCTAGGCATGTTTGGTAAGCGCTGAAGATAACTACAATGAGGGGTGATTTACTCACATTGAATCCTCAGGATGGTTCTTTGGTGATTTCTTCGTCGACGAGTTCTCGGCCAACCTGGAGTATACCGGTATATACCGGTACGTAACTGCATTGGATGGCCTGTCAGTGTCTAAATTGTTTCTCCCATACACAGGTATCTTAATAACCCAGAGATCATGAGCGGTGCAGCATTCTTTGGCCTCGCGTTGATAAGCGGCAGTAAATTGGTGTTTACCCTTGCCGTAATACGCCACTTGTCTCAGTGGTGGTTCTTGAGCAAGGTTGAAAAGTAAGATTATCGAAGTTCGTCGATTATCGGCTCCTAGTACTGAGATTTTAATTTCGCAGTCCCCACATGCGAAAGTTGTATGGAGACACTCTCCGCACTGACGCTGGCTTTGTGAAGGTTATTAAGAAGGTGGCGCAGAAGAACGCACGGCTGCTTGAGACTCGCGCAGGAAAACACGGACCGGAGATTAAGCGAGTCGCCAAGGAAGTCAAGGGAACGTTTGACAAGGTGTATATCGAGACGGCAGAAGCCGTAGAGGAGTTCCTAGCCCGGTGTGCGTTATTTCTCGATCGTGATTTCTGCGAAGTTGACAACTTTTGTACCTCCAGCCAAGCCGAAGATTACTGAGGTCGTTCAAGACACAAAGGTTCTCTTGCAACAGTCACGAGAAAGACTCGTCATTTCGTACGTAGCTTATGAATATCTCGTGAGGCTCCGTCGCTGAAAAGGTGTCCGCAGGCGAGTTTCAAACGATTTATCACGTTACGACACTTCGAAGTATACTATCTCTGTCGTGCCCACGGGCCCTGAAGGAGCGTTACGTTTTCATCTCGGAGAGCCTATCAAGCTTAAATGGCAGGCACCTTTGCACCACTCGCGCAAGGATTGGATTGGGATATATCGGGTATGTTTTTCTGCTACGCCGTCGTGTGACCGGAAATAACAATCTTCTGCCGTTAAGGTCGGAGCGAATACGTCTAGTCATGTCACGAAAGTATCTTCCTTGGGTATGTGGGTGCCGGTTCATGATGAAGAATGGGACGGAGAGATTCCACGCGGATTGAGCAAGCCGAGTAAATCGATTAAGGATGTTGATTGTGAGCGTGGAGAAGTCACTTTTGAGGGCCGTACTTTGCCATGGCGGACTGGTCGATACGAGGTGCGCGGTTGTTGCGATTTGATATTTATGCTCTTTTGCTGACGCTGTTCACAGGTTCGTTACCACCATGACGGAAAGTACAACGTCATGGGTCTCGTTGGTCCTATTGAAATTTACGGTCAGTTAGACCATTGCTAGTCCTGGGGAAATTTCTCATATATTCTCACCTAGTGGAAATACCCTCGACCGTCAACTTTACATCTGTTCGCTCGTCTTTGGCCCGGATTGTCACTCTCTGTCTCGACTCTGACCCGTCGCTTATTCCTACGTCTTGCAAGTCTCCTAGTACTAATGTGGAGGAGGAGGAAGACTCGCGGGATCCTGACGACTTCCGCTTCTGGTCTGAAGACCAGGCGGTGCGGATCTCAAAGTCTATTCAGCAGGCCTTTGACGTGGAGTTGACTCCCGAGGTTGTGATTGCTGAGGCGAACTTGAGTACGCTGACGAACAGAGTGCTAGTTGCTCGTGAGTTGTTCTCAGACTAGCGAGGCGGTTTGGTACGGGGGACTGTTGGATGCATTACAGTACATCATGTTGCAGTTCACATTCCTAATGTTTGTTTTCTTGTTTTTTGTCATCTCAAACCCATGTAGAGCAAGGTTGTTTCTAGTTTAGTGTTAATATCCATGGCAATCCACATGTGATGATAGGGTATTGGATCAGAGTGAGGCATTTCTGTTGCCTCCTAGAAAAAATTCTGTCTACAGTCATCTACCTAATTATCATAGTATGGTGGAACTACTGAGCTTACTGGCAAAGCATCGACGTGAGTAGCACACTTAGTATCCCCCTGCAACTCTTGTACTCTAACAGCTAGTGGAATTCAATTCCTAATTATGCAAGATGACTATTCCTTACTGACTCCTTAGGCCTTAGGCTCAGACCTTACTTATTAGTGGGGGCTCGCTCACTCATGCACTTCGGATGTTTGTCTCAAATATTGTGTACTAGATCTACTACATATGCGTTCCCAGCTCTGAAGCGAAACAACACTATCCTAGTATGACTACTTAATATAGCCTCCATGGCGTAATGGTAGCGCGTTGCTTTCCTACTTGCTTCAGTGCTCAATTGAGCGTTTAATTCTTTGTAAGGCAAAGGTTGCGGGTTCGATCCCCGCTGGAGGTTCGTTCTTTTTCAACATAATCTTGGGGGTTATAGGCATTGCTACAGATTATTTTACTCACAGTCAAGTCGTTTCTTACAGCAAGTATATGATGATATTATTGCGGATCCCGTGCAAAGTATCCGGCGGGATGGACCGTGATATACTGTAAGTAGTGAGGGAAAGATATTACGCGCCAAGCGAGATTCATGTTTCTCTTTACCAACAACCATCATGTCAAAAACTCTCAGTAATGGAACGCTCAGTCTGCGTTTTATGCAAAATGCTCAGCGCGCAAAGCAGCTAGCTCAGGTAGAGCTCGAACAAGCAGCAATTAAAGATGAGGCAGAATGGGAGGTTTCGCAAGAGATCAAGGATGCGTGGGGAATAGCTTCATCGTCCTCGAATACCAGGTGAGTTTGCAAAGTAGTTTATATCATGATTTTGACCGAATGACTTGTATCAGGACGTCCACAGTGACTACTCATGAGGCGTCATATATACCCTTCATATTCACTGATGTAGGGTCATCCAATGCGGAAGATAGCTCTGTGCGACCGAGAGGACGCAGAACATTCAATGCAAAAGGATTAGAGGTAAAGGAGGAGCCTGTGAGTGCAATTTTGTGTCCCCTCCCTTGAATACCAATTTTGTCTGGTTAGATCGTCGCCAACGAAGTACAGACCGCACAAGATAAGGCCCACGTCGCACCTCAACGAGTGACATCGATCTCGGGATTTAAGGCACCGCTACCCACCAAGCAAAAGAACTCCGGTAAGGCAAAGAACAAGACAGCGCAGGAGTTGATACGTGAAGATTTCAAGACACAACCCTCTTCGCACCTGATAGATACCACCTCTTCTGCTGGATTCTTGAAACCATCCGGCGTGGACGCTCCATCGCTCAACCGTCCAAAGCTAGATGCATTGAGCCCCGCACAATCTTTGAAGCGAGAACGCGACTCCGCGACCGGCGATGCTTCGACGAACAAGAAGCGGAAAAAGAAGAAAGAAGTGCAACTGATCGAGTAGTGCGCCTGGAATGTATACCCCACATCCGCTCACGTCGAGCACGCCGACGGCGTATGCCTTGGAGGAAGCTCGCCTTCGCTTGGTTCACCTTCCTGTGGATTCTCATCCCGGTGCTTACTCTCATAGACTTTCGGAAATATATCGTCAGTATGTCAGTTGACCTTCCATCACCCCCACGCCTTCTCATGCGATTCATTCAATACCTGGCTGCTCAACATACCTTTCTGTATCATGGAAGAAACAACCCCCTGTCTGCACATGAACGCCGTCTTGTTTTGTATCCTGCGATCGCTTCACACTGTTCCTTTTTTTTTCTCCGCAACACGGCTCAGCGCTCCGTTTCCCACTCCAAGGACTTACGTTCGCTAAATAAAGGAGCCAGCCGTCTGCGATGTTCGTAACCAATGATAGCAATACATGGGCACAACACTCCTTTGAATTCTCCACACTACACCCTCAAAGCTTGCTCCTGTGACTACAACGCTCAACGGAGACGTCTACCGTGTGATCGAAGCAATGCCGTTGTGAATTGTGAGAGAACCTCAGGTACGTATTCTCAAAGCGATCAAATTTACTTCGATTCTTATGCATCATGGGCGACAAATACACCTCTAGACTTGTGAATACAACCCACCAAACGCTCGCCGACTTGTGGGCGACATGCAGCAGCTGCGCGAACTCCCCCCCCCCCTCTGATGTCGAACGTGATCTTCGCCGTTTGATAATGCAGGCGCGAGAGTTGTGCTCACCGAGAATGTCGTCAGCGGAGATGCAGACACCCCACGACACAGGGACAGTCGATCATTAAAGCGTCCTCCAGTAAGTTCGCGACACAAAGTTTGCAGAAAACTGTGCGAGCAAACGACTTGAGCGCGAAGACTGTTGGTTTGCAAACCTTGGTTCCGCCGTTCACGGCCGAAACGCTGACAAAACGCCACGAAGAGGATCTCCTGCGAACGCACAGAAAGCCGGAGTGAAATGGGCCCATTCCTCTTCGCACGAATGTCTGGGCTGGACCGCCGAGGGCGTGCTGGTGCCTAGTGACCTTCCGGTGTTGTCGACGACAATGATATTCAGGGACAAATGCTGTAACACGATCGAGCACAAGAAGCATGCATTCACGTACACTCGTCGGAAGAATATCAGAAGCATTTGACCTTTGTTGGTAAAGTCAGATGGTGGTCTTCGTCTTTGACACCCGCGGAGAGTAATTGACAGGAATGTTATCACAGCCTAGACAGCTTGAGATATCACCCTGGTGTGGGAACGATCAGTGGTAATTAGGTTGCAGTGAGAGAGGAGATAACGAAGTAGAAGAAGCCCGGTGTATACTGCTCCTTCTCGAGCCCGCCGTGATACGCGTCAGTCCTTGCTGTCCCGCTCGACGTCGAAGGCGATGGCAGACCCGCTGAAGACGGATTAACGATGCTGGGAACGAGGGATCGCAGTCGAATTGCGCGATGGACCGACATGCATGCTTTTGTGTCGAAGATCGGAGTTGTCAGTGTGTTTCCATGCGTCCAAACCCGGTCATGCTCCGCCTCCTACGGGACAAATGACACCGAGACAAACGCAACAACCTCGACTGACAGAAAGACTGGCTGGCATAACCTGTACGGCATTTGTCTTTGCAAAGGGTGTGTGGGATGATGATTGTTCTGTGTCTGTTCGAATCAGTCAGTGTAAACTCATACGCACCTATATATCAAGCACCCGTAGCAACGTCATCTCCAGCGGTAGATGGCAGGGCCATTTCAAGGGGATGTGCGTGCTTTTGGCAGATACGTCTAGCCGTGTTCCTGCGCCGTCCTCGAGAGATTCTGTAATCGATATAGTGCCTTAGATGACAAAATCACGTACGCTTGATAACTAAGATCAGTCACTGGTAACAACGCCTCGGAAAGATTAGACAAATAACATACTTGCGTGCGCAGATGACCACTTGACCAGGCAGCGCCAATTGAGTTGCCCTACTAAGCCACGTTCCCGAAGACCCGTTAAGCAATAAGGCGAATAAGTTGAGAGAGAGCAGGTTCAATTACTCAATGACCAAGGGACGACTCGGAACACGGAAGCGAGCCTGAACGTACTTCATCCAGAAGTCATAGGAAGACAATAGTGGCATCGACGTATTCTTTAATCAAGTTCGAGGACATGCGGTAATTGCAACACAGCTTTTTCGTCGCATAGTGGGGCTACATGGCATGAATGGCAGCAATTCAGCCTCTTATGAGCGATCGACGCGCTGTTTTCATCTTCACAGCCAGATCATGCGACACCGCGCAATATACCCCTTGAGCAACGCACGGTAAAGGCTCATCGCAGGCGGCCTCTGGAAAGACATCGGCACCGAGGAACCCGCAAGAGGAAATGTGTAGAATGTTTGAAAGAAGGCGTTTGGATAGTTGAATGCGTCCAAATGAAATCGATTGCAGTGGAAGAGAACCAGGTTCGCTCACTGAGAAGGGGTGGGAAAGAATTCGAGGTTTGTTCGTCGATAACTAGTCACAAGAACTTGTCATTAGATACCGGGCATTAGATGACCGATGTGACCGGAACACAGTACCTCTTTTGAATCATGCGCGCAGTTCCTTCACTCCCGTCCCAGTGCTGTAATAGCTGCCTCTAGACCAAATAGAGCTTGAATATCAGTAACGTACCCTGAAAAGTAGCACAGGCTGCCACTACCCATGTCATTGAAAGATGCAGTGGCGTCCGTTCCGGACGGCACGATGTCAAGGGACCAGGCAGGTACAGCAAGTCAAAGTCACTTCTCACAAAAGACTGGTCTGCTGAGCAGCCTCAGCGCCGAGCGAAGATGTCCGCGCACAGGCTGCATCGCTACAAACCGATATCTCTGGAAAAAGGTTTGTCAAGTAGTAGATACGGATGAAAGGCACCATTCTCTGGAAATTACATACATACGCAGTATAACCCAACGACGGATCGATCGGGTTCAATCTGCCTGGCTACAATTGAAGCCGGGTACACAGTCTTCCCAACGGGAACAACAGTAGACCGAGGGTTCTATCAACAATTTTTTGTTCCTTGTCACCGACTACCGTATCGACCAGCAGTAAATTCGTTCGCAAGCCTGCGAGCGCATCGTTCTATATTTTCTGGCCACACAGAGGTGACATACCCTGTCAAATAGAGATCGGCGACAGTATTATTTCCGACAGGTGTCGCAATTAGACCTACGTAACCAATGGCGAAACTTCCAAGTCCACACTGACAAGTATTCATGGTCTCGGTCCAAGGCCGGTAGAGATTAGTTGAAAATGAACGTATGCGTCAGCCCGCCTTCTGTCAAATGATTTTTAGGCTCCAAGGAGATGTTCGCACGCTGGCAGACTAGAAGCAAACTCCGTCGAACGCACCTGGATGGCATTACCAGGGTACGGATGATGTTCGGTCCCTCGGAGCTGGCTAGGCGACTAGGAACTATCGAGAAAACGTTTTCCGGCATTGAGGTAACCTTGAGCCCAAAGTCAAACCGAAAAAACGACGATCTTCCGCAAAGCAGTTCGGAGTATATAACGAATCTCTTCATGGATGTGGTGGGTCTAGGGATTGCAGAACTTGCCTGGGTGATTCGTTCCGACGAAGCCGTTCTGATCCTCCCATGTCGACTTACTTTTGGCACACATGTACGTCCCTGGGGGTGTGTGAGAACACGGTTTCCTAGACGCCCCGGTACCTTTGGAATTCACATCAAGCAGAAACTGTCAGACGAGATCCATTGGGTTTCGGCATCTGAAGAAACGCCAACCCAGGTAGCAAGGGCGGTATCTGTGTAAATACGATATGTCAACAGAGTCAGAGTCAGAGTCAATGGCAATTGCCTTGTCATTACGCACCTATCCGAGGCCTTCGTGCGTAGATGTTCCGAGATAGTCAGACCTCTTGATTTTGAGGCTCTGCCCGCGGAAAATCAACATAGATCCGGAAACAGACGCGTCTAGTGGATGAAAAGACTTCTGCAATTCTCA